GTATCAGCAAAATACAGTGCTTGGAGTAAGTATACACTTTTTATTGGGAGAAAAATTATTAATATCATCCAGTCTGCTCAATTTTTTAAAACATTATCATATTTTTCCACATCATCATTCTGGCATCAAAGGAAATCATTCCTAATTATGTTTATGGGACTGGGGGAATACATAGAGAGACCTAGATATGACAGTCTTGGAGAAGTATGGTGAAATTTATAATGCAACACCTCTCAGAACACGTACAGTGCCATCTCTCCCCGTGTCACTTACCTGTAACAAGAAACTCTGAAGTATAATAAAGTTCTGCCACTGCAAGGTGCTTTAAGCGACAGCAAGAAGGAAACAAACAACTGGCTGTAAATATTCTGCTTGGCTCCCCTGTGCTGGGACTTGCAAAAGAAAATAGGTGGTTTTAAAGCAACATAAGTGAAACAAATGATAATTACCATTTCCCCAAGGGTCTGAACAGGAGCATAAAAAGCAAAGCACTGCTGTTGTGTTTTTGATAGTGCCCTACACCATGCTGTTCTGCTCTCCAGGTACTTCCTTCAACACAAAAAACAGGTTCAAAAGTGCTCTAACATCTGCCATGGTTTATCTGGAGCAGCCAAAGCACAACTGCAAGGCTTCATCACTTGTATAAGTTTGGTTTTTTTTGATCATCCTTGTGTTTCTTTACATGCCAACCAGGTTATGAGGGGAAGGATTCCTCTTGACTAGCTTCAGCCCACTCCAAAGCAGACATGGGGACTTAGGGTATCATCTCACCCACCTCTGTAACCAACAGGATATGACAGGCACTTCCAGGCATGAACTTCTCCCTTTGGTACAAAAGATGGGAGCTATGGCCCTACGGAATTACCTGCTCTCCTTATCTACTGCAGTACTGTAGCAAACATCTACAGAAACTCCAGCAGACAGATGCACAACACAGAAGACAGGACTGCACCTAAACCCAGCTGAAGCAACCTTGACGAATTTTAACTGGTCTTTCTGTGGACACTTATTAAGAGGTGAAAGCCTTTGAACAGTCTTAGGGGTTTTAACAACTCAGACATGCACTTTCCTCACAAGAGCAACAACTCCTTATTCTTCCTTTCCTCAAAAATAATAGTGTTTTCTGATGAAAACCTTGGATTTCAGGACTGTCCAAGCACTGATCCTGGCACTTCCAGAGCAAGCATAAACATTTCGCTTCAGCTCTTCTCCAGTTACTTAGCTGTTACACTTCTCACTGTATTGCTTGTGTTGGTACCTTTCCTGAACTATAAAGCTGCTAGCAGCCAAATTTCTGTTCCTGGCTCCCAGAAGTTCTCACTTCCAAAATCCCAACAAACACCCATTGTTTTTCTCCTCCAAGATGTAGCACCTCCACCCTGATCCATCAGTCAGCTGATGACTTCTGGGTGTTGTACCTTCATTTTGCTTGCAGTGCCAGAACATTTTGCTCCTTTTTTCCAGCCAACTGCACAGTCAGAACAGTCATGCCTAATGTACCTGTAGTCAGCACAGACAGACAGGCAATGGTACAGCACTTCTGCACTTCAACCTAGATCAGCCAAGTGCTGTATTCTTCTCAAGGGCCTTCTCTCAGCTTTTGGAAGCTATAAGCACACAAACCAGCCTGTCCCTGCAATGTGAGACAAAGAGCAAGAGTCTTCACACCACATGTGTTACAGGTCACCCTGTTTTGTGTACTTTTTTGAGGGAGAGAAACAAATACAGTGGCATGCAGCAGCATCCATTGCTTGGGATGATCTCACATGGGTCATCAACCAGCTGCCAGGCAGCGTGCAACCCCAAGTGAAGTTTAACCAGAAACCTAATAATAAAAGAGTATATTCTGGTTACCTCAGATAACTAATTCCCTCTGGAATATTTTCTAAAGATACAACACATTATTTACTTTGTTAGCTGAAACTGCATTATAAAGGGGTCACTTCAAAACAATCTAGTTCTACAAACTCAGCAATGCATTTTTGCCAACTAGTTTAAGAATTTGTCACCAAGCTATTCTTCAGCTTAAGGAAACAGTTCATTTATCAAATCACAGTAATTTCTTGTACAGCATTTACTCCTGCTGCAGACACATCCAAATAAATCTCCTATACCAGAATTCCCAAATGAAGGATGGGGAAATATAGGTAATGAAAATAAAGTAGGATAGAGAACACCCACCCTGGGTTACTAACTCTGGGTCAGAATTGACTGCAGCCAACCCTAACCAACTCTGCCCAAAGCACTCAAGTAGCTCTCCACACCGTGCAGCCTCATGGTGCTGATGGTCAGTAGCACTAGGTTCTCCACATACAGAGTTAAGTCAGCAGCACTTCATAGCTCATCCTTCAGGAGCGGCAAAAGGGCTGTGTCACATCCCCATCTGCCTTTGTCACCAAGATGGTAGAGCCAATAAATCCCATAAGGATCAACCCAACATCTACCCAGCACATCTGCAGACAAAGTAACTCACTCTTTTAACTTTCTGTCCCACTCTATATGGGTCAAGAGAAGAGCATTAAACTTGCCGCTTTGTTTTCTACTCACTTAAAGATGGGATACAATTGGAAGTGACATTTCTGAAAGGCTACCGAAGTCTCATTAACCTGTCCTTAAGGCTGAGGAACTTGCTAGATCAAGAGTGAACTAAAGGTAGTGGAGGCAGTAATTACAATAAGACCCCTGCCCTCTTTCACTCAAACCGTATTTCTCTCTTTCATCTTTCCCATCTGCTTTTTCCTCTTTTTCCACCACTTCTTTCTTCCCCTCCCTCTTTCACACACCAGGCTAGCAACTGTGCTCAAGACCAGCTAGATTGGAACTCGCTCCTGTCATCTCAGAGTCATGCTATTGTTAAGGTTGGAAAAGGACTCCAAGACGACCAAATCCAACCATTTATGTGTCACACAACTTAAAGCAGAGACACAGAGCTCGGGCACACCAGCATGAGAATAAACACTACCTGCCATATGGCAACAGATTACACAGGAAAAAGGAGGGGGGCAAAAAAAAAAAAAAAAAGAAGGGAAAGAAGAAGGAAAAGAAAAGGGAGTGACAAATCTTTCAACGATACACCTCGGAACTGGTTTCTCCAGAAACTAGTTAAAGAGTTACTAGCTTCCTCTTCTTTGAGCCAATTCCTTCTGTTTAGAAAAAAATATTGCAATATACTCCATGAGAAGGCAAGAGCATATTGCGTCTCACCCATACTCACAACTGAACTGCCTGAATTAGAAGCCTAGCTGGCCTCAGGTTTCTGTTACAGCCCACTCAAAACAAGAAGTGCCTTCTGCACACACCTCCTCGCTGTTAAGCACAGCCCTACAAGCAGCAAGGCTCAAAATTTTACAAATACCACCCAAGTGGCATAAGTCGGAGACTAAACACCCATTCATTCCCCTGCCCAAGAAAGCGTTTTATTTCAAAGCCAGTGTGACCATCTAAAGCATGCGTGTGATGGAGAACAGTCAAGGTCTGATCCTGTCAGATCGTTCAAAATGCAAGCTACTTGAAGTACTTGAATGCAAAGTAACTTCCAAAGCCTGCTCCTGCTTTCTGCCAGGGTCAGCAATTGCAGCTATGGAGCCTGTGCCATTACACAGTCTTTTACATCATATGGAAAGCTTGTCCAAAAACCATGTCAGATGGCCACTGAAGGCAACAGAAGTCCACAGAGTACCTGACCAGAAAGATAAATTTCTGTCTCTTCTTTCCATGTTTTCATTGTATTTGCCTCTAACTTGGACACATCAGACAGTCAAGCATCAGTGAGCAAACGAGTCGTTTCAAGAGGCATTGCTGTGCCACTGCAGAGGGTCCCACATGACACCTGCATTGCCATCTGGGACCACCACGTTTTCACCACTCACCCATGGCTTAGCAGAGTCCACAGAGATGGGCAAAGGGAGGCAGGGTATGGTATCCGCTAGTTCAGCTGATGTTTGGCTCACCATACTGTTGTTGCTCAAGCACAAAGTAACATTTGCAAATGACCACAGGCAAGCGGCAAAACCACCGGGCTAAGAGCCAGCTGACTCATGAACCTTCAGCACCATAACGCCTTAGCTCTTCTGCCCCAATCTGCAGCCGCTGTAGAGCTGCAACTGCCTTTCTGTCACAAGTCTATACAGCACCTACAAAAACACCACCTTGCTCCAAACCCAAGGGCTTCCCGCAGCTGATAACAGAACTAACTAGCAGTTCGCTATGGAGTCTCAATCCTCCTCTCCAGCGTTAGCTACTGACAAATTTCCTCATCAGGATTTTTAGTGGGTGCCGCATGCTCCACCCCATCTGCCACCCACATTCACACATACATGTGCAAAAAAAGAGATGAGACCCATCTGTTAACCAGGACAGCTGCCTGCAAAACGCTGACAAGCCAAATGGAGATAATTCCGTCCTGGTCACAGGAGCAGCAGGTTCGGGAGCTCCAGACTGCAAGTCCGGCACTCAGTAAATTCTCAGCCTCCTTTTCAGCCCAACGAAGGAAGCAAAGCACAACACGGCAGTCCCTCGGGAGCAACCCTGGACATGGAAAGGCCGTCAGGGACACGGCCCAGGGTCTCTGCTCGGCACTTGGGCCTTCACCTCCAGCAAAGCATGTTCCCTGCGGCGCTGCTCGTACCCCAGAGAAGACAAGCAAAAAAAGGGATTAGCTCGAGAACAGGCACATACGGATGTATGCTACCCAACCCTGCCCTGGCCTTCTCCATCCCTGGCAGAGGGCAGGGGGCGGCTCCGCGGGGGCACACGCGCCGGCAGCGCCAAGCAAGGCCCTTCCCGCCGGCATCCCGGGGGCGGCAGAGGGGCCGCGGCACGGCCCCGGCAGCCGGGGGTGAGGGTCGGGCGAGGGGAAGGCAGGGCAGGGGAGCGCTCCGGCAGGGACGTGCCGCGGGGGCCCGCAGGGGCGGCAGCGGGCCGGGAGCGCGCAGCGCCCGCCGCACCGCACAAAATGGACGCACCGCGTGGGGCCCCCGCCCGCTCCCTCCCAGACTCACCCAGCCAGGGGGCCCGGGCAAGCGGCGAGGCAGGGAAGCGGCGGCCCGCGGCTCCCCGCTGCCGCTTTAGATCTGCGGCGCCGGCCCGCCCGCGCGGCCCTAGCTCCCAATGAATGGGAGGCTCTTCTCACGTGATGCGGGGCTGGGCCGGGGGCAGCGGGAGGCTGGGGCGGGAATGCCTGAAGTGCAGACCCCGGCAGGGAGAGCATGGCTGGGGGGCGGCACACGTGGAGGAGAGGGCACCTCCATCAGGCAAGGAAGGGGCTTCACAGGCCGGCCACCTGCAAACGCCTCAAGCCGCTCGTTCGCCGTGGACTGAAAAGTTCCTCGGTTTCTCTTTTTCTCCTTACGCTCCCTGGGAGTGAAAACTGAGGGGTTGGGCAGAATGATCCATTCACCTGTAACGCACACCTTGCTCTGATGGGTTCTGCAGAACATGGTTGAACAAGAGATGCCAGCGTGAAATGGGTGCAGTGGATAATCATAGGATGGTAAGGGTTGGGAATGGACCTTAAACATCACCCAGTCCTAAACTCTCTTGCTGTGGGCAGGGGCACCTTCCACTTGACCAGGTTGTTCAAGGCATTATCCAGTCTGTCCTTGAACACTGCCAGGGTTGGGGCATCCACAGCCTCCCTGGGAAACCTCTTCCAATGTTTCACCACCCTCACAGTAAAAAATTTCCTAGTATCTAACCTAAGTTACTCCCTTTTCTTCTTGTCTGTGAAAAACAAGGTTCACATATTTTTTATAGAATTTAAAAGTTTAATAAAAAGACAATTAGGAGATAAATATAATGTAAAGTATACAGATATGGCCGGGTGTCTTTGCATTCAGCCAAGAGAGCACACCTTACTAACAAAGGATTGTCCCTTAAAAACAGAATCCTACTGCATATTCATAAATTCTCATACATGATTCAAACGTTCCTCTTAAGTTTTGGATGTTTCTTTGTTTAGTTTTTGACTTGCCCCCTTCTCGATAAATCAATCTTCTTGGCTCCACCAAGTTTTACGTTCTCAGATAACAGAAATGCAATAAATACCTCCCCCAGCACTCTGGTCACTGCTGTCCTCATCTGGACAAGATAATCTAAGAATGGAGGGGGGTCTCTGACCATCTTTTTCAGTCTTTGGGTTATACAAACAAAAGTAGTTTTTATTTCAGTACTATGCCATAGCTCAACACATATGTATATTATACTGCTATTTCTAAGTTTAGTCAATAACAGAATTAGAAGGAAATATATTAATATAACAAAGTTTTCTAACCTTATACCTATAACATTAATTTTAATATATGCGAAAAGCCAACAATATAATATGTACCTATAACATTGTCCTAACACTACAGCTCCTGACAAGGAGTCCCTTTCCAGCTTCCCTGTAGGCATCCCTAAGATACTGTAAGGCTGCTATGAGGTCTCCACACAACCTTTTCTCCAGGCTGAACAGTCCCTGATAAGAATGGCAGAACAGCATTTTACTCACTTGATAAGGATAAGGGAAAACATTTTACTTCTTACCAAGGACAGCAGAACAGAACAGCACAGCCTTGGAGAAATAAATAAAGATGTAACTTAGGCAAACAGAAGTCATTCAAAACGCAAGCAGGACACCAGCTCAGCTCTGCAAGGCTGAAAAAGTAGAAGTGAAACAATGATACTGTACTTAATCAAAAGCAGGGGTCGAAGAACAGCCCCCTAAAAAGGACACTGCACTTTGGTGATGGACCCCAAAGAACCATAGAAGGACTTTGATAAGGGATACGACTGTGTAAAATAAAGCCAAGGAAGCGGAGAAAGCTAATGAATATGTAATCATTTATGATATAAAACTCTACACCTGACACTTGGGGCATCAATTAGAGGAAATAGCTTCCAAATGCCGAGCATGTTATAATAAAGGATACCTGTTACCTATTCAGAACTATTCAGAACTGTGCTAGAAAGTTTCTATCTGGCTAATTTTGGTATCACCGCAACTCTCTCTATCTGTCTTCACAGGAGAGGTGTTCCAGTCCTCTTATCAACTTTGTCATCACCCTTTCGACTTGCTCCAACAGTTCCATGTCCTTTTTATGTTGGAGACACCAGAACTGTACACAATATTCCAGGTGGGGTCTGACAAGAGCAGAGTAGAGGGGGAGAATCATCGTCAGCCTGCTGGCCATGCTGCATTTGATGCAGCCCAGGATTCAATACTGGTAGACACCGGTGGGCTTGGATTAGGCTTTTGACATTACCTCCCATGAAGCACCATGCTCCCAATCTGGAAAATACACTGTTGATGAAACTTCCACAGCTGACCCCAAAGCTACAGCAAACAGCCCAAAAGAGCTGTGGATGTTGAAAGAACAGCATGGTGTCTGTGCCGCGCTCAACAAGATCCCATTTCCATTACCATTCATAACAGACCACTATGGGAAAACTGTCCAGTGTGCTGCAGGATGAGACAGCATCTGAACCTGAAGCTTGAAGAAATGCCAAGATTCAAACTGTGAATAAATAAAGTGGAATTCTAGAAAGGAGGAGAGTGATGGTTAAGGAAAGAAAACCAAATAAGCAGTGAAGAACATCTGGCTGAGCAACCAATTCAAATTGCATCAGAGGAGGTTTAGATTGGATATTAAGAAAAGCTCCTTCACCAAAAGGGTTGTCAAGCATTGGAACAGGCAGTCCAGGGAAGTGGTGGAGTCATTCCTGAAGGTATTTAAAAGATGTGTAGGGACACTGAGGGCTTAGTGGTGGACTTGGCAGTGCTGGGTTAATGGTTGGACTTGATGATCTTTTGCAACCTAAATGACTCTGTTTAGAAAGAGATTGGGAGATTACAGTGAATCCCAAAAGCCATGTGAGACGGCTGCATGGGACAAATGGTACTAATGAAACAAAATATGCTACCCAAAAGAACTATCTTTCTAGTAGAGCACCTTAATTGAAACATATGTTGTACACGGAAAGTAATTACGAAGCTGTAATCAATAGCACTGAAACTTTAATACAGTCCTTATTTTGACATTTAACCATAAAGAAATACATCTACTTGGTGGAATCATGAAAAAAATGCTGGTAGGAACCACATTCATTAAATAAAATGTTCTTTTTTAGGGCAAAGGTAGAGCAGTAGAACAGTCCTTCAGTGATTAAGAGGCAAAGGCATAAACACTAAAGAAATAAAGAAGGAAATTGTTTAATGTCATTTACTTACCCACTGGAGAGGCTGGAGGACATTTTGGGGGTAAACATTCACAAAAACCCCTAAAACAATGTTTTACTGCTGTGTTTCTTCATCAGCTACTCCACGTGAGATCAACAACTATACCTGTCATGTTGCCATCTGCTTCTGCCTATCACTTCCATAGAGCCCTGGTTCATCTCCTGTGTTATTAATAGATGTGGTTGCATAAATAGAGGGAGCAGTGGTCTGAGATAATGGCTCCTAAAATTGTTGTTCTGGAAGAAAAAAAACTAACCATCTTTTATGCCAAGCTGAAGTACCCAAGGACACCAAGTACCAATTAATAGGAAAAAAACCCCAAGCAAACAATTGTTCTGAAATTTCTCTTATTCTTGCTAGAATTAAACTCTGCGTTCAAAAATAATTTGTTGCACCTTAATCCTTCCTTGACCTCAAGCCAGTCAGCTTGTTCTAGTTCATTTCAATCTGTGGAACCCATCCATACCAACTAACAGTATCTCAAATAATCCTTAAACACGAGCTGTCAGCACAAGCCTGTGGCCACTCCCTGTTTACATGCAAGCACCCTATTTTGGAGGGTAAGAGGATACAGTAGTATGGGCATTAACCCATTTTCTGTCTTCAGCAAGCTTAGTAGACTAACAAAAAAGCAGCCAGTACAGCTGTTTGTGGAACAGTGCTTTGGGACATGCCCTATGTTTAACTACCAAACACAGATGTGGGCTGGATGTGTGAAACTAAGTGTGAGATTAATACTGCCTTGTCTACAGTAAGGCCATGATAGATAAGGCAGTGAGGAGGGCAGAGCTGCTTTGACTTAAGGAGTTCAATGTTTCCTGTAAAACTGATCAAGCCAAATGTGAATGAAAATGTAACAAAATGTGTAAATGGAGAAATGCAGCATTTGGCTACCAATTTAACCAAAAACAGTTTCCAGTGGTTAATGGCCTCTAACAGGACATGTCTGAAGTCATCCAAGATGTCCCAACAACATCTGAATCATTTGTATCATCCCAGTCTCAGAGGCTAGACTTGTGTTACTAATGAAGGTGGGCTTGTTCTCTGTCTTTGAGGGTACGTGGCACAACACAGCTTACATCCATACAACAAAACCCTCTTCTCCAAAACAACTCCACAGCAGGGTGACCACCTCCAAATGGCTCACTGGGAAGAAGAATCTGATGCTATCCCATAAACTGTGCACAGGCATTTCCTGGGAGAGGGTTGTCTTGACCATACCTGCAGCAGAAACTGTTTAGCACCATGGGCAGTTGAGGACTGGTACACCATCCTGAGCCCTCACTGTTCTTTATTTGCTGGTGATACATGATACAGGTGTAGCCAGGGAGGCTGGAGCTTTGCTGTGAACTTAGAACCAGAGAAGATGGTTTTGGACAGGTGACTTTGGCATTTCCTCATGAGCGGCCCAGACACCACACCAGTTATTGTAGATTTTAGCCCCCAGAACATGATTCATTTACTTGCCAGAAGAATAAGACATCTTCCTCAGAAGATTTTGTTCCCAGAGCTAAATTAACTTCCTGGCATTACAAGCCTGGTACCCCCCACTAGGTCTGGCCCTTGATGATCCAAAGAATGATCCAAATATTGTGTTTGATCTCAGAATCTGTACACAGCAGCTCCACTTCCTCCTTTTTAAATTTTGTTTCTATTTATACAGTTAACGAACTTTTCCGCATTCATCTTCATTTTCATCATTCATCAGTTTTTGACCTTCAAAACATAGCTGCTAGATCTGTTCCCATAGATTGTTTACATCTAGCATCCTTTCTTGAACAGTCAATTATCCAGGTAACTCTGGAGAATGTCCCTGCTAGTTTTCCCTTTGTTTAAC